TCAATATGTACGTATCTTGTGCTCTTAAGCGATACCCTAAGCATTCATCTTTTGTTTTCGACGGTTATCCTGCTTATTCAACCACAAAAAGTCAAGAAAAATTAAGAAGAGCAAAAAAAAAAAAAAAACATCAGCCACAATAAATTTCACTTTAGCAATGCAATGAAGGTACGAAAACGCAGGCTGAATTTCTCTCAAATTCTTAAAATAAGAAAAAGCTCATTGCAGCTGTCAGTGAGGAGCAGTTGAGAAAAGTTGGTGTCGAGGTGTTTATTGCAGAGGCCGATGCAGATCGGGATATTGTCTCGTCTGTCATTTTGAAAGCTGAGAGAGGAGAAACAGTTGTTATGGTAGGGACGGACACTGATCTTATGGTTATAATGTTAACATTAATCAAGAGAAGGAAACTAAAAATATTTTTCAAAATTCCTGGAACTTCAAAAAATCCTGGTACTCTGTATAATATCGTGAAACTAGTCGACGATTTTAAGCAAACTAGTTCTTTACTTCTTTTCGCTTATGCAATGACAGGATGCGACACCACCTCCGCTCTTTTCAGGACAAGTAAAATAAAAGCATACAACCTCCCATGGTTAATGATTCTTCTTTACAAAAAGATGTTCTAATTTTTAATGAGTCGATTGTTGATAAGGAAAGAATAGGCACAGTAGGCGAAAAATATTTAATTCATTTTTATGGGGGAGCCAACTTAACTCAAATTTTAGATGAGTGCCGCTTCATAATGTATTCAAGAAAAGTTGCTAAAATGTCCTTAAAATCTAAATTTGAGATGGTGACTCTTCCACCAACATCATTAGCGGCGAAACAGCATAGCTTTAGAGTTTACTATCAAATTCAAGTTTGGCTTGGAAATAGTTCTCTCGACCCGAGAGAGTGGGGATGGAGGGAAGAAGAGGGAAGCGATGAAAGAAAATTTCTTTTACCTATTCATTCTACATTAAATTTTGCGCCTGATGATGTTATATAGATGACCTCCTGTAACTGTAAGTCTGATTGCGGCACAAACTGTAAATGTTTTAAAAAAGGGCTCTGTTGTTCAGCTATGTGTCGTAATTGTAGTGGCGGAACATGTAAAAATATATTACCAGCCGTCGAAGAATTTGAAGAGGACCATCTATAGGTTTTTGCCCGAAATAGTTTTAAGTAGCGTCTTGAACTTGCCAACAGCTAACTTTATGTGTCCATTTTCGTTATTTTATGTCATTATTGTTTTGTTACTGATAATTTTTACGATGATTGCTTTTATTTGCTGTTCAAGTAATTTTAACCTGAAAATTAACGAATGTCATCAATAATAGACTACATCGCTTAAAAGGTGACATTTTTGTAATACCCATGTAGGCATTTTCTTTCGTATTAAATATTTGTTTTTGCTCTAATTTTTCGTAGAGCTGTGTGTTCTTTCATAAGTAAAACTATTAGGTAATTAAAGATATCCATAAATTTCCACCTCAATCTAATTTTATACTCATTTATTCCTCTTATTCAGTCATGTTTACTACTAACTAAATTTCAAAATGTTTCACTCTCAAAAAAAAAAAGAAAAAAAGGAAGGAAGCGAAAACGCGTCCAAGTGGAAACAGCTTCATTCAAATATAATGTAATTATTTATAGCCAAACATATTGAAAAATTTATGGTTTTGAAAGATAAAATTTATCTGCAGTTCACAAGAATGTTGCCCTCTTAGAATTGAAGAAAAAAAAATTCTAGGAGTGGGCTCTTTGAGAAACATGCCGCCATGAAGCATTGAGTTGGGGCGGTTCTATGTGAGTGCTGCGTGTTATTATACGCTGCGCTGCGCCGCGCTGAGCCGCGCTCTGCCGGATTTCCACCCCCCTCTCATCCTCACCCTTTGCTCCTACCTTAACTTCCAATACACCATTTGCTAGGAAATTGCGTCCTCTAAAAATTTTCACATAAGTATAAATTCCATTTTGTAATCGATAACGGAGTTATTCCGATTTATTTAAAAAAAAATAATTCCATTTCATAAATTTTGAATTTGTTTTAAAATTTTCTTAACGATCTCTTGATAAATTTTGATGACCAATGGTTTCATTTTAACGCACGTATCAATACGAACAATTTAAAAAAAAATTGAGGTGTCTAACTATAATAGGAGCCAAGTTACAGCAGTTTAATTGGAAGGGGGGATTTTTCAACTTTGAGGGGGGCTAGCAAAAATCCCTTGGGGGCTAGGAATGGGGACTTTTGTGAAAATACGCCCCACAGTGGGTATAATCAGTGGTAAAAATTTCAGCTTGTTACTAATTTGTTCCGCTTAAATCCCTTCGTTTACTGGACTAATGGTTGAGAGCGGTGCGAGAACTTGTTGTGTATATTGGCGGGGGGTATCCAGTTTAGGTTAAGTTCTCTCTTTCTCTAGTTTGCCATTTTCTTTTCTCTCTCCTTAGGTTTTTCGCCCTTTTACCCATAAAAGGTCGTGGTCCCTCGTGCCATTTTCTCTGCAATTTAGCCACTTTCTTCTCTTTCATTCATTTTCCTCTCATGCCACCCAGGGGGTCGGATAGGGGCCGCAGTCCCCCCAATTTCGACTTTCCTCAGTCAGTAAAATTCTTAGTGAAATGGATGTATTCGCTTCCTTACAACAAATGAAATATAAGAGGAGACTGTGAAACACTGCAACCAAGAAGTGCCCTATTCGCATCCAGTGCCTCAATTGACCCCGGTTATTTGTCGATGGATGTGCGCTGAAATCGGGTTTCGGAGGTATTTCGAGGACAGAAAATCGAACTTGAAGTCAGCAGATTTTAAAAAAATCCGAAATTTCCAAAAGTGCCGAAAATACTGAAACTTCGTACTAAAGTGTGCTTTGGCATGACATTAACAAATTTGAAGTTAGATTTCTAAAAAAGAAAAAAGAAAAAAAGAAATAAAAGAGAGAGAGAAACCGTTTTTCGCCCATTTTGTAATTTAATCGGCGGACACTTCAGAAACTTCGGATTTTTAGAAAATTAGACTTCAAGGTCAATTTCCTGTCATCAAAATACCTCCAAAACCGATTTTAGCACACATCCATCGACAAACAACCGGGCTCAATTTTCGGCCATCTTCAACTTTATCCGGCCGCCGGTTTGAAACAGTTTGAGATATTGACTTCGGGTTTGCGAGGAAAGTTTTCTTTTACGATGCTTTTTCCGTTTTTTGGGGTTATATTGTTAGAGGTGATCATATATTTATACACTTGGCAAAGTTTTCGGGACCCGGGCCTATTTTATTTCCGCAATTAAAATTATTGCTGTTCCTGCAGGAATTAAAATTGTTTGAAGATCAGCTACCCACTATGCATGGAATACAAGTACTCTAACTTGTCTAATCCACTCGTTTTTTTTTTTATTCACGGGGTTTTTATTTTTGTTTACTGAGCGAGTTTTGATGATTGGGATTATTTTGGGTAATTCTCCTGTTGATGTTTGTTTTTACGTGACACTCATTTCGTGGCTAGACACTTTACCCAATTTCTTTTACCCAATACCTAATTGGGCCAACAAATTTTATCCAAGGTATAGTTTGGCCAAATTTTATTATACAATTAAAAATTTAACCCACCCTTTTTTAATCCACGTTCTATGTAAGCCACAATATTATTCATTATATACATTCCTCGTGTAACAGCTGACTTGTCGGACGTTGCTAAGGAAACTTTTCAATTGCAAAATTTGAAAGCTGAGGACGAGAAAATATTATAACCTGTAAGAAATGAGTCAAAGACAAACTCCAAAATTTTTAATTAAAGTCTACATTTGAAATCCAATTTTTACTTCAAAATTTTCGCGACTTTTTTAGGAGCTTAAAATTTTTTTAAATAAAATTATAATTTAAAATTAAATTTTCTGAAATGCCCGGCGAACTGATCAACACGTCCAAGAAGAAGAAAGCGCTGGTTTTGGATGGCTTTATTTATACCGTCCACTCAAAAAATAAATCAGGAACCCGAACGTACTGGCGGTGTCACTTGAAAGATAGTTGTAACGCGCGCTGCGTCACAAATACACCAGGTGAGAGGGAAGAACTAGTAGTTTATAAAAATGGTCGCACTAATCATTGCGATTGCTAACAATCTCAAGCAAAGGGCGGATGAGACTCGGACAGACTCGGAAGGCGGCGATGATTAGCCACATCATGAACAGACAGCATGTAAAAGTATGAATTTAATTTTTCCCACAAAATAAATATTACCTTGGACCAAAAACTAACGTGGACTAAGTTAACTATTGATTAAAAAACTATTGGTCCAAAATTTTATTGGACAAATTTCAGCAACGGACCAAACAATTGTTGGACCAAACAAAATTGGGTAAAGTGTCTGGCCACCACTCATTTTGTTCTTGCTCATTTGCACTGTGTGATATCAATGGGAATTATTTCTGCTAATACAGAAGGATTTTCCAATGATTTCCTTCGGTTCTGGGAGTAACTCGAAATAATTACAGGTTAGTCTCTCAATTTTATGTTATACTTGTGGGAGTGAACCTAACGTGTTTTCCACGGTTAGAAAATCACAACTACTACTATACCGTGATAATTGCTACGTTTTTTCAATAATTTGAACTGTGATACTACCCCTGTGAAATCGAGGTGTGCAAGATTTGTCTCTGTTAAAATTGTAATAAGTATGTCCTATAACAACTGCTGGAGATGAAATTAATATAAAACGCGTGTATTCTTGAATGTTATTTGTCCGTAGAAAAAGTTTTTCTTCTCTCATTATGATCACCGTAGGTAATATCTATTATTATTATTATTATTAAATTGATCTCATATGAAATCAATTGTGAGATTGTTCGAATTATAGCGGTGAACGCTTAATTCGAATTTGAGGATCACCTTGTTACATAAACATAATAGCTATAGTGTTTAATGCTACAAATCTTAGCATTATTAATACTGATAAAATCATAAAACTGAATGAATAAAAAAAAAAATGGGAAAACAAATATATCATTGCGGAACAAACTCGGGAGAAAACGCCAGTTTAATTAATGGCCTAAGTAGCTGTTGCCTTAGGTATGATATGAAACATTCCGCCCCACTCGACCGTTACCTGTGCTTTATTCAAATCAAATTCCGAATAAAAGGAGGTGTTGGTGCTTCTGGGACTTTTGGGGAACAAGGGATTCAACCAGTCTCCTCATTCTTATGTAGTGCTCGTAAGTTTGGTGGCCCTGAAAAGGGCCGTTTTAAAGTGTGGAGCCAGGTGAAGAGAAGATCTACTTCGAGCTGGTGTACTTGGTGACAGCCTTGGTTCCTTCAGAGACGGCGTGCTTAGCCAATTCTCCGGGGAGGAGAAGCCTGACGGCGGTCTGGATTTCCCGGGAGGTGATGGTAGACCTCTTGTTGTAGTGGGAGAGACGGCTGGCTTCGGCGGCGATGCGTTCGAAGATGTCGTTGACGAAGGAGTTCATGATGGACATAGCCTTGGAGGAGACTCCGGTATCGGGGTGCACCTGTTTCAAGACTTTGTAGATGTAGATGGCGTAGGATTCCTTCCTCCTGCGCTTCTTCTTCTTGTCACCCTTGGTGATGTTCTTCTGGGCCTTGCCCGCTTTCTTCACTGCCTTTCCACTTGCTTTCGGAGCCATTGCGTCGATGAGTTCGAGCTGCAAACGAGTGACTGCTCAGTGCTCAGCTCGGGTTTATATATACAATGGGCCGCCTCGATGCGCCCAATCCCAGGCGGTTGAACCGGCTCGCGGTGGGGCGCCAGGTGCTCAACGGTTTCCCCTCTCTGCTCTTTTCTCCTCTCCAGTAACGGTCACGTTCATTTATTCCATTTTTCGAGCACCGCAGACCTCTCGGTCGCCAATCTCATTTGAAATGCCATTTTTCTCGGTTCTCAAGAGCTACTAAAGCTTCGGTTCAGAGTTCGGAGTTCCATCGTCAATAAGGTTCGGCATAACATAAGACGAAAATCCACAGTCGAGGCGACTGTCACTATCCTTTTACTCAGTGACTCAGTCCCAATCGATGTTCTACACGGGTTCTTCTCGGTATGCAAAACTCTCAATATGGCTAAATGATACCCACAGAGGGACGTAAAACTCTCAAAACGTCTGAATGAAATACGACTGAATGAAATGGCCTGCAACTCTCAGTGCGGCAAAATGAACTTCAGAGAGAGACGTTCAGCTCTCAATGCGGCACAATGAAATTCGGAGAAGGATGCGAAACTCTCAATTTGGCTAAATGATACCCGCAGAGGGACGAAATACTCTCAATACGGCTGAATGAAATACCTACGACTAAATGAAATCCAAAGAGCAGGGGCCTACAACTGGAAAAATGAATTTTATAGAGAGACGTTCAACTCTCAATGCGGCACAGTAAAACTCAGAGAGGGATGCAAAACTCTCAATATGGCTGAACGATACCTACCCAGAGAGGGACGTTAAACTCGCAATATGGCTGGCAATGAATGAAATCCAAGGAAGAACGTGCTACTCTCAGTACGGCACGATGAAATCGACGACACGAGTTCGAGAACTGTAAGTAAGTACATGGTTACGAACACTGGATAATGAACTGCAAACCTCTTTCGCCGATTATCCTTAAAAAATAGCTACACCACGCTGTTTCGCAGAAAAAATACTGAAAAAAAATCAACATTTCGTTAAAATAAAAAGTCTTGCCGTACACGCGTCTTGATTTTTTTTCATTGCAGTTTAGTGGATGCACTTTTCCATGACTTATCTCTCGCCAAATGCTGCTATATTCTGGTCAATCAACATTTCAAGGATTCAAAAACTGGCGAGAGATAACAAAAGTCAAGTACCGAGAAAATGGAGGTACAGGAGAAACCAAACACACCGAGTAAGGGTTGAATTTCAAGTTTTACACTCAAATAACCAGTACTAAAACTCAAATAAACGTAAGTTCATTTCAAGCTCAGCTGACGGAATAAACGAACAACGACCGTCATAATGCTGTCAAGTCCCAGTTTGAAAATGGTGAAATTAGTGGAAACAGGAAATTGGGAGTAATATGAAGAAAAATTAATTAATAAATGAACAGAATTCAACATTTTCATAAGTTTATAACGTCAACTTTAGGTTGAATGATGAGTTCCCGCGTCTCAAATACATAGAAATGCATGCGACCCTTGATAGCAGAGCAAGGAAATTTATAAAAAAAAAAAAAAAAAAAAGTCCTACCCTCACATTTCGAGAATACATGTTAGTCTTTGAATATTTCAAAATTGTATTTATTATTCAAACCCACACTCTGACGAAGGATCATTATTTGAAACATTGTAATGGGGGGAGGATAAAATGATCCAACGCTCGTCAAATGGTAGAGCAGACTCTATATCTCGAATATCAAATACAGCAATATACACACTATGCACTGGCTAGATGTTGTGCTCGCTGCCTCGAGGATACGAATGAATCCGCCGCGAATCTCGAGAGCATGCATCCAGTAGCGTCCGATCGAGCGATGACGTCAAAGACGTGATTGCGAGATACATCGGCGCTCCAAGATGAATACTCTAAACATCCGAATGCTCGCCTGAGCCCGCACTTGCGAAACCGATGGCCTTCGGCCCGAGTGAGCTAGAAAGCATAATGGAATGTGGCCCTAAAACGTATGTGATATGGCCCCATTCCATTACACCCTTCCACCTTAGGCAAAAAAACAGAAAAAAAATGATTGAACCATCCATTTCGAAGCAAAGGCCCTTGCGTAGCAAGTGCAGCGTTTCATCGTAAAAAAAATAGTAAAATAAAAGTAGGTTTAAAAAAATTATAAATAAAAGGAGGCTAGCGGAAAAAAAATATTAATCGAATGGTAATAGAAAATATGACTTTTTACGAAAAAAATAATAAATAAAGCGGCTACATTTTATATTTGCCGGCACCCGATCAGAACTTTGGTTCGAGAGGTTTCATAGCCGTTCTGTTCATGTAACAAAATCCCAAAATTGCTATGAAATCTGTTCACCGCAGTGTAACCTGGCGCATTCGTGGTACTCAAAAACAAATTTGAATCGAAAAAAAACGTAAATAAAAAATTGAGTACGAGTACTCGATTTCGGTTCTTAAAACTACTACAAAGAAATCTGCTGCCGCTTCGGAAAATCTCCAGATGCCGTGCCCGTCCGACACATTCCGCTGACTCAGAAACGCCTCGTTCAGTCCTCGCGATGCCCAATGTTGATATTGTTGTGAATGCCCATTTGTGTCACCTCCCTGAAGCGCCGTGATGTTGCGCGGTTGCCAGGTCGCCGCCACTGCAAGGTTGCGGGAATTGCAACGGATATCCCTCGGTCTTCAGGGTATCCAAATGATGTGTAGATGCCTCCGCCGATTAGTTGAGAGAAGCATGCCCGGATCCCGTTGAAAGGTGAGGTAGGATGAGCCTGGCGTGAAGAGTGCTTCCAACGTGTCTCGAAGCCAACCGCTGGGCCCTGCTGTCCGCGAGCTCGGTTGAGAGAAGTTCGCCCGCCTCGTCGCTTGGTTGATACGCCCGAGGGTTGTTGAGGGAGGATTCGTCCCGTTGGCCAGTCGCCAGATGCCGAAGCTTGGCTACTCCGGGTACGGGAACCAGATGAGGTGTTCCTACCCTGGAATCAGGGTCGACCCGCTGGGGAAAAGGCTGCTGGTCCCTTCGACAGGAGATGAGCCGGCATGGGTCCTGTCGCAGACAGCGAAGCTCATGTGCTTTGGGCGCCAACTTGGTGTGGACCATTGAGGGTGCGTGGACTGTAAGTGCGATTCCATATCAGGGATGCGATTCCGAGACGGCATCAAGAAAAGACCTCCTTCGCGCGCAGGACTCCTGAAATGTTGCCAAAAACACAGGATTAGACAACTGCGTTATAAATTTCTAATCCTAGAAGGAAACATTACATTACCAAAATTTTAGGAGCGCAGATCCGTGTAATGGGGGGAGGATAAAATGATCCAACGCTCGTCAAATGGTAGAGCAGACTCTATATCTCAACTTGCGCCTCGCCTTCGCAGGGTTGCCAGACCGGGCAAAGAATATTCTCCCTATTGGCGGCCCGTTTCCTGGCATTTGGATGCGCCGCAGGCGCTTTACACGGGGGCAATACTGCCCTAGGCCTCAGATTATAGGCGGCCTGGTCGCCCGGAGCAGGGTCTCTTTCCGCCGATCTTGGTCTCTCCTCCCTTTCCACGCGTGGGTGATATTTTTTCAACCTCTCGCCGTCAATTTCTTCCTTTACGTCGCCCCACTGCACCTCAAATGCTCCAGGTCGCAGTTGCCTGACAATAATTCCCGGCTCCCGTTCCCATTTTTTCCGCAGCTTTTCCGATACTCCAACCTTTTTATTCGGGTCAAAACACAAAACTGCATCGCCGGGCTGTAATTTTAGGGGTTGATGGCGGTCATCAAAGGCCGCCTTATGGCGCGTCTTTGCTTTTGCCACTTCCGCCCGCATTAGCTCCCATCCAGTGTGCAACTTCGCAATCCACTCTGAGTATCCCAAGATGTTTTCCTCCTCCGGGATAAAGCAAGCATCGATGTTCATACTGCATTCTACTCCAAAAAGTGCTGCATACGGGGATATATGCGTCTCCGAATTGGGCGCAATATTCATTGCCAGACTCAAAGGGTGCAGCATCGTATCCCAGTCCTTAGGATTGTTTGTTTGCGTGTAACAATTTATCATGTTCACCATAGTCCTGTGGGAACGTTCAACGAGGCCGTTGCTCCTATGAGCATGAGCAATGGAAAAACGCATTTTTACGCCCAATTTCGATGTCAATTCGTTCAAAAGCTCGCTCCTGAAGGCCGCGGCCCTATCGCAGTATATCATTTTTGGCATCCCGAAAATACAAATGTACTCATAAATCACTTTTGCAATTGAGGGGGCATCTGTGGATTTTATAGGTCGGCAAAATACAAATTTTGAATGGGCGTCAATCAGCGTGCAAAAATGCAAATTCCCTGCCGCTGTTCGGCAATATTTTCCCGAAGTATCCATGTTAAGAGTGTGCAGAGGCCTGGGAGGTGTTTCTGTGACGGAAATATCACTTTTTTTCTTCCCTGAAACGTTCTTTCCCGTTCTTTGACATGCTTCACACGTTTTCACGTAGTTGGCACATAATTCCATGAGTTTCGGGGCATAGTATTTTTTCCTGATTTTCTCAAAGAGCTTGTTTTTCCCTACATGTCCACCAAAAATCTTACTGTCATGATATTCGGGAAGCAAATCAGGCACCAATCTTTCCGGGAGGGCCACCGTAGTGTACGGGCCCGTGGCAGGTGAGAATTCCTTTTTCATTAAAATTCCATTTTCCAGTGTGAATTTCCGTGAATCCCGCCTTGATTTGCTGCTTTGCGCACCGCTCTCGCCTTCCAGAATTTTAATGATGGGTCCGAACCGCGAATGCTTACGTTGTTCTTCTCTAAGACTATCCCTTGACGGCTCCGGTCCTTCCCCGACTTTGCTGACTACGACATCTTCTTGTTCTTCAATCTCATCTTCTCCGTAATGACTCAGGAATTTCGTTGCTTTCACAAACTGGCAAATCTGAAGGATTTCTAGCGGGCTGTTCACATTTTGGATTGATATTTTTCCCTCATTATCTTCTTCATCGCTTGATTCCGCCCTGTCGTCCATTCCTTTGATGTTCCTACTAAGGTAATCCGCAAGTCGGTTCAGCTTT